GAATTTTACTGGGGGAAAACACAAATTGTTATCAGGGACACAGAAACTGTTATCTGAGGGACACTGAATTGTTACTGAGGGGACACTGAACTGTTACTCTGGACAGGACACAGTATTGTTTCTCAGGGGACAGACACAGAAATTGTTTCTGGAGGGACACAGATTTGTTTAATGAGGGTGGGACAAAGAAATTGTGTTACTGAGAGAGACACAGAATTGTTACTCAAGGGACAGACACAGAATTGTTACTGAGGGACACAGAATTGTTACTCAGGGGACACAGAATTGTTACTCAGGGTACAGACACTGAATTGTTACTGAGGGACACCAGAAGTTGTTACTCAGGGACACAGAATTGTTACTAAGGGACACAGAATTGTTACTCAGGGTCACACAGAATTGTTACTCGTAAGGACACAGAATTGTTACTGAGAGGTCAGGACACAGGAATAGTTACTGCGAGAGGACACAGAATTTGTTACACTCAGCGGGACACAGAATTGTTACTCAGAGGACACCACAGAATTGACTACTCGAGGGACACAGAACATTGTTTACTGAGGGACACAGAAATTGTATCCTTGAGGACAGACACAAATTGTTACTGAGGGACTCAGGGACAGACACATATGGATTGTTAACTCAGGGACACTGAACCTGTATCTCGGTAGGGTACACAGACAAATTGTTACTGAGGGAGCAAGCCCAGAATCACGTGTTACTGCCCCTGGACCAGAATTGTTACTCAGGGTCAGACGACAGAATTGTTACTGAGGGACACAGAATTGTTACTCTGAGAGGACACAGAATTGTTACTCAGGACAGGTGGGGAGAATTGTTACTTCAGGGACAGGCGACAGAATTGTTACTGAGGGACACAGAATTGTGTCCTGAGGGACAGGGAACACAGAATTGTTACTCAGGGAAAGACACAGAATCTGTTGACTGGAGGGACCAACAGAAGTTTTACTCAGGGACACCGAGGAGTGTCACTCAAGGAGACACAGATTGATTAGGGCACAGAATTGTGCACTCAGGGACAAGGGGTCACAGGCAAACTAGTCGCTTAGCCATGCAGGCACAGATTTGCTTCACTCATAGTGACACTCCAGAAACCGTGTTCTTAGGGACACAGAATGTATTACTCAGGGACTCGGTCACAGAATTCCTCTTACTCAGGACCTCAGAATTGTAACATGACAAGCCAGAATTCAGTTTACTCAGGGACACAACTAACCGTTGTTACTGAGGGAGACAGCACCATCTGAATACTGTAGGTGATCCACCGAGTAATTGTTACTTTGGTGACAGACACAAGAAGTATGTTACATGCTGTGGACTCACAGAACTGTACTGGAGGGACACAGAGGAATTGTACTGAGGACACGGTGTGGAACTATTTTTCGCCAGCAAGGCTTGACTCAGGAATGGACGACAGAATGATTGTTACTCAGTCGACATGTGGTCAGAGAATTGTTACCTGACCCTACGGAGCCAGAGGGGGCCCATGTAACTCCAGGCGTCCAGACACTCTGAATTGTTGCACACTTGAGGGCTCATGACACAGAACAGTGTTACTGTCATGGGGTGACATCTGAACTTTCGTCATCAAGTGGTCAGGGCAGAAATTGGGCTCTCAAGCATCATGCTGACAGATCAGCAGGCGTAAAGCTTAGTGTCAGGGAGCCAAACAGTCGTACTAGCGTCAGGATATGCCTTAGCAGCAGAGGAAGGGTCGAGGCAGCAGTCTGAACTCAGTGGCGGCCCATGTAGCGGCCACAGAACTGCTTGTCATCCAGGGCCCCACAGTCTGCAGCCATACCCCTTTCCCTGCCTCACAACTGCTGGTGCACGGTTCCATTCCTTGTATCCCAGGTCACCAGTGACAGATTACGGGGCATCCAGTGTGGTACGGTGCCAGAGGCCACAAAATTCGTTGGCATGGGCCCCATGTGGAGCCGCTACCCTGAAATCAACCTTTGTAAACTCTAGGGGTACCCTGCCATGTAATTTGTGTTCCCATGTGGTCCCGAAGTATGCGTGGCCAGGAGGGCTCCAGCCCCACTGTACAGTCAGAGAAGAGCACAAGGGCGAGTCTGGAATGTGCACACTTTCAGGTCTCCTCCACACTGCTGGTGTGTGTAAGGCAATTTTGTCAAAGGGTGCTGGCAGATTACCGGGCTCTCCGCATTGGCTAGCTGCTTCAGGCCCAGGTCTGCCATGGGCCCCTTGTACCGGCCGCCCCAATTATATGAAGTAGAGCCTTTGATCCGACTTGCGCAAGCCCGCCCGGTGTGACGCGTCAATCAGGCCGTGTGCAGGATCCGTCACCACTCAGGGAGTTAAGGGGGCAAATGCCAGCTCTGGCAATTTTTTCGGCAAGCAAAAATGGGTCCCTGTATGGCCTACCAGAAAGTCAAGCGTGGCCAGCTGTCTTCATGCATCGCCAGTGGACATCTGCCCACTGTGCCACTTTCAGGTCTACCTCACACTGCGTCTGGTGGGTTCCCTCATTTTGTCATAGGGTTGCTGGCAGATTACGGGCTCACCATTGCTGCTGCCAGGCCCGTTAATCTGCCGGGGAGGGAGCCCCTGTAACGACCTCCTCATGCTGCTGCCAGGCCCCGTAGTATCTGTCATGGGTGGCCCTGTACCGCCTCCCATTGCTGCTGTCCAAGGTCTAGATCGACCACACTCTGCTCATGCTGCCACTTTCAGGTCGCCGTGGCGGCTCTGCCATGTTGGGATTTCCCGGTTCCACTTTCACAGGTTCCTCCTTACAACGGATGCTGGTTGGCAGCCTCGTAGGGCCATCAACAGGCTATTGCTCCGCATCATCAGCGAGCCAGGGTGTGCAAGCTCTGGCATGGGCCCCTGTCGGCCTTGCTCCATGCAGCCAGGTCCAGTAATCAGTGTCATCATGGTCCCTGTACGGCCTCATTGCTTGCTGTACGGAGTATAGCAACACTCTGGCCACTGGAGTGCCACTTCTCAGGTCTCCTCAACTGCTGGTGGTTTCCATTTTGTCAAAAGGGTGCTGGCAGATTACGGGCCTCCCATTGCACGGTGCTGGCAACAGGACCCGTAATCCCCCGCCCGATGGAAGCCCCTGTACCGCCTCCTCATGCTGCTGCCAGGTCCAAGCGTGTCTCATGGGTCCCTGTACGGCCTCCCATGCTGCTCGTCTCCATCGCCACACTCTGCCATGTGCCACTTTCAGGTCTCCTCACACTGCTGGTGGGTTGTCCATTTTGTCATAGGGTGCTGGCAGATTACGGGCCTCCCATTGCTGCTGCCAGGCCCGTAATCTGCCATGGGCCCCTGTACCGCCTCCTCATGCTGCTTCCTCACACACTGCTGGTGGGTTCCATTTTGTCATAGGGTGCTGGCAGATTACGGGCCTCCCATTGCTGCTGCCAGGCCCGTAATCTGCCATGGGCCCCTGTACCGCCTCCTCCTCATGCTGCTGCCAGGTCCAGTAATCTGTCATGGGTCCCTGTACGGCCTCCCATTGCTGCTGTCTCCATCGCCACACTCTGCCATGTGCCACTTTCAGGTCTCCTCACACTGCTGGGGTTCCATTTTGTCATAGGGTGCTGGCAGATTACGGGCCTCCCATTGCTGCTGCCAGGCCCGTAATCTGCCATGGGCCCCTGTAACCACCTACCTCCTCATGCTGCTGCCAGGTCCAGAGTGTCTCATGGGTCCCTGTACGGCCTCCCATTGCTGCTGAGTTCTGTCCATCGCCACACTCTCTGCCATGTGCCACTTTCAGGTCTCCTCACACTGCTGGTGGTGTTCCATTTTGTCATAGGGTGCTGGCAGATTACGGGCCTCCCATTGCTGCTGCCAGGCCCGTAATCTGTCATGGGCCCCTGTACCGCCTCCTCATGCTGCTGCCAGGTCCAGAGTGTCTCATGGGTCCCTGTACGGCCTCCCATTGCTGCTGTCTCCATCGCCACACTCCTGCCATGTGCCACTTTCAGGTCTCCTCACACTGCTGGTGGGTTCCATTTTGTCATAGGGTGCTGGCAGATTACGGGCCTCCCATTGCTGCTGCCAGGCCCGTAATCTGCCATGGGCCCCCTGTACCGCCTCCTCATGCTGCTGCCAGGTCCAAGTGTCTCTCATGGGTCCCTGTACGGCCTCCCATTGCTGCTGTCTCCATCGCCACACTCTGCCATGTGCCACTTTCAGGTCTCCTCACACTGCTGGTGGGTTCCATTTTGTCATAGGTGCTGGCAGATTACGGGCCTCCCCATTGCTGCTGCCAGGCCCCCGTAATCTGCCATGGGCCCCTGTACCGCCTCCTCATGCTGCTGCCAGCCCAGATCTGTCATGGGTCCCTGTACGGCCTCCCATTGCTGCTGGGTCCCTGTAGTCCTTCCATCGCCACATCCACACTCTGCCATGTGCCACTTTCAGGTCTCCTCACACTGCTGGTGGGTTCCATTTTGTCATAGGGTGCTGGCAGATTACGGGCCTCCCATTGCTGCTGCCATGCCCGTAATCTGCCATGGGCCCCCCGTACCGCCTCCCTCATGCTGCTGCCAGGCCCCTAGCTGGGCCCCTGTACCGCCTCTGGGCCCCTGTACATGGCCATCCCTCATGCTGCTGCCAGTCCAGAGTTTCCATCTCATGGGTCCCTGTACCGGACCTCACCCATTGCTGCCAGGCTGTCTCCATCCTCACACTCTGCCATGTGCCACTTTTGTCAGGTCTGCCCTCACACTGCTGGTGCTGTTCCATTTTGTCATAGGGTGCATAGGGTGCTGGCAGATTACGGGCCTCCCATTGCTGCTGCCAGGCCCGTAATCTGCCATGGGCCCCTGTACCAGCCTCCTCATGCTGCTGCCAGGTCCAAGTCTGTCTCATGGGTCCCTGTACGGCCTCCCATTGCTGCTGTCTCCATCGCCACACTCTGCCATGTGCCACTTTCAGGTCTCCTCACACTGCTGGTGGGTTTCCATTTTGTCATAGGGTGCTGGCAGATTACGGGCCTCCCATTGCTGCTGCCAGGCCCGTAATCTGCCATGGGCCCCCGTACCGACTCCTCCTCATGCTGTACGTTGCAACAAGGTGGAATTCAACCCTACATCTCAGACCGCCTTTACGAACAGCGAAAGGCCATCACCGATTTTCCTGATGTTACAAGCGGATAAAGGTACTCCCCTGTGTAACTTAGATGTCAGCCATTGCAGCTCATGCGTGACACCCTGCCGCTTGCTCAGGCCCTTTGAGGAGGCCACGCTATTCGTGGTCGGCAGGACTATGGGATGAACGACGTCATTCCTCTGTTGCACGTCCTGGAACAAATGCTGTTAACAATGGCTGGTCAGGGTGCGGTAGACGTGGCGCACAGATCTCAACGCCACATGACCCCTGTGGGGGCAGGACAGGAAGAAGAGGAGGAGGTAGAGGAGGACATTGGTGCTCAGGAATTATTGAGTGAAATGGGTGGTTTTTCCACTCAGCGGACAGGAGTGGAGGAGCAGGAGCATCTGGTAGAGGAGGAGGAGGAGACAGAGGACCCAGACGCACCGTGGCAGTATGCTGTGGAGATGGAGGCAGGGAGTCCCTCGCATTCCTTGGCACAAATGGCCCATAGCATGCTCTCGTTGCTTGCGTAGCGACAGCCGAATAATAACCATCAGACAGAGGGATGACTTTTGGCTGTCCACCTTGTTGGACCCTCGCTACCGTTCAAAAATGGTGGCCTTTTTCACACCTGCTGAGAGGGAGGCCAAAATAACGTACTATAAAAACCACCTATGTAGTCAGTTGGTCTCTGCCTTTCTGCGCCAACGTCCATCCACTCAGACACTGTGGGCCCTGTGCGCTCGCGTTCCGCTGCCATGGCAGCAGGGGAGGGGGTGGGGTGGTGGGTTAGTAGGAGCAGTGGCAGCTCCACCAGCAGCGGCTGCCTCAGTCTGCAGTCGATGATGAGTAGCTTTCTTCACCAGCGCAGTGAGGAAACTACTAACCAGCCCGCCAGCAGCAGCAGCATCAGGTGGACCTGGAGCAGGACCTCAAACAACAGGCTTGGGCCTACTTGGACAGCACCCTGCCAACCGAGGTAGACAATCCCCTTGACTACTGGGCAACGAAACTTGACCTTTGGCCCCAACTAGCTGAATTTGCCCTTGAAAGGCTGTCATGCCCGGCCAGTAGCGTGGCATCGGAGCGCGTGTTTAGTGCGGCAGGAGTATGTAACTCCGCGGAGGACACGACTGTCCACCCAAAGTGTGGAGAGACTCACGTTTGTGAAAATGAATCAGGCGTGGATTAGTCTGGATTTCAAACCACCAGTTCCTGACACAACTGACTAAATCCGCCATGAATCATGCCCCAAACATGTTATTATTTTTAACATAGGCCTCTGTATGGCCTTCAATTTAAGCTGCTTACGCTTCGCCACTCTGCCATGGGCCCCTGTACCGCCTCCTCTCATGCTGCTGCCAGGTCCAGAGTGTGTCATGGGTCCCTGTACGGCCTCCCATTGCTGCTGTCTCCATCGCCACACTCTGCCATGTGCCACTTTCAGGTCTCCTCACACTGCTGGTGGGTTCCATTTTTTGTCATAGGGTGCTGGCAGATTACGGGCCTCCCATTGCTGCTGCCAGGCCCGTAATCTGCCATGGGCCCCGTACCGACTCCTCATGCTGCTGCCAGGCCCGTAATCTGTCATGGGCCCTGTACCGCCTCCTCATGCTGCTGCCAGGTCCCAGAGTGTCTCATGGGTCCCTGTACGGCCTCCCATTGCTGCTGTCTCCATCGCCACACTCTGCCATGTGCCACTTTCAGGTCTCCTCACACTGCTGGTGGGTTCCATTTTGTTTTGTCATAGGGTGCTGGCAGATTACGGGCCTCCCATTGCTGCTGCCAGGCCCGTAATCTGCCATGGGCCCCCGTACCGCCTCCTCATGCTGCTGCCAGGTCCAGAGTGTCTCATGGGTCCCTGTACGGCCTCCCATTGCTGCTGTCTCCCATCGCCACACTCTGCCATGTGCCACTTTCAGGTCTCCTCACACTGCTGGTGGGTTCCATTTTGTCATAGGGTGCTGGCAGATTACGGGCCTCCCCGATCCCATGCTGCTGCCAGGCCCGTAATCTGCCATGGGCCCCGTACCGCCTCCTCATGCTGCTGCCAGGTCCAGAGTGTCTCATGGGTCCCTGTACGGCCTCCCATTGCTGCTGTCTCCATCGCCACACTCTGCCATGTGCCACTTTCAGGTCTCCTCACACTGCTGGTGGGTTCCATTTTTCATAGGGTGCTGGCAGATTACGGGCCTCCCATTGCTGCTGCCAGGCCCGTAATCTGCCATGGGCCCCCGTACCGCCTCCTCATCATGCTGCTGCCAGCCCGTAATCTGTCATGGGCCCCTGTACCGCCACCAGGTCCTCATGCTGCCTCCAGATCCAGAGTCCTCATGCTGCTCAGAGTGTGGGTCCCTGTACGGCCTCCCATTGCTGCTGTCTCCATCGCCACACTCTGCCATGTGCCACTTTCAGGTCTCCTCACACTGCTGGTGGGTTCCATTTTGTCATAGGGTGCTGGCAGATTACGGGCCTCCCATTGCTGCTGCCAGGCCCGTAATCTGCCATGGGCCCCCCGTACCGCCTCCTCATGCTGGTGTTCCATTTTCTTGCCAGGCCCGTAATCTGCCAGGCCAGAGTGTCTCATGGGTCCCCTGTACGCCAGCCTCCCATTGCTGCTGTCTCCATCTGTCCATCGCCACACTCTGCCATGTGCCACTTTCAGGTCTCCTCACACTGCTGGTGGGGTCATTCCATTTTGTCATAGGGTGCTGGCAGATTACGGGCCTCCCATTGCTGCTGCCAGGCCCGTAATCTGCCATGGGCCCCTGTACCCCTCCTCCTCATGCTGCTGCCAGGTCCCGAGTGTCTCATGGGTCCCTGTACGGCCTCCCATTGCTGCTGTCTCCATCGCCACACTCTGCCATGTGCCACTTTCAGGTCTCCTCACACTGCTGTGGGTTCCATTTTTGTCATAGGGTGCTGGCAGATTACGGGCCTCCCATTGCTGCTGCCAGCCCGTAATCTGCCATGGGCCCCCCGTACCCGACTCCTCATGCTGCTGCCCAGGCCCGTAATCTGTCATGGGCCCCTGTACCGCCTCCTCATGCTGCTGCCAGGTCCAGAGTGTCTCATGGGTCCCTGTACGGCCTCCCATTGCTGCTGTCTCCATCGCCACACTCTGCCATGTGCCACTTTCAGGTCTCCTCACACTGCTGGTGGGTTCCATTATGTCATAGGGTGCTGGCAGATTACGGGCCTCCCATTGCTGCTACCGCCAGGCCCGTAATCTGCCATGGGCCCCCGTACCGCCTCCTCATGCTGCTGCCAGGTCCAGAGTGTCTCATGGGTCCCTGTACGGCCTCCCATTGCTGCTGTCTCCATCGCCACACTCTGCCATGTGCCACTTTAAGGTCTACTCACACTGCTGGTGGGTTCCATTTTGTCATAGGGTGCTGGCAGATTACGGCCTCCCATTGCTGCTGCCAGGCCCGTAATTGCCATGGGCCCCCGTACCGACCCTCATGCTGCTGCCAGGCCCGTAATCTGTCATGGGCCCCTGTACCGCCTCCTCATGCTGCTGCCAGGTCCAGAGTCTCTCATGGGTCCCTGTACGGCCTCCCATTGCTGCTGTCTCCATCGCCACACTCTGCCATGTGCCACTTTCAGGTCTCCTCACACTGCTGGTGGGTTCCATTTTGTCATAGGGTGCTGGCAGATTACGGGCCTCCCATTGCTGCTGCCAGGCCCGTAATCTGCCATGGGCCCCCGTACCGCCTCCCCTCATGCTGCTGCCAGGTCCAGAGTGTCTCATGGGTCCCTGCACGGCCTCCCATTGCTGCTGTCTCCATCGCCACACTCTGCCATGTGCCACTTTCAGGTCTCCTCACACTGCTGGTGGGTTCCATTTTGTCATAGGGTGCTGGCAGATTACGGGCCTCCCATTGCTACTGCCAGGCCCGTAATTTGTCATGGGCCCCTGTACCGCCTCCTCATGCTGCTGCCAGGCCCGTAATCTGTCATGGGTCCCTGTACGGCCTCCCATTGCTGCTGTCTCCATCGCCACACTCTGCCATGTGCCACTTTCAGGTCTCCTCACACTGCTGGTGGGTTCCATTTTGTCATAGGGTGCTGGCAGATTACGGGCCTCCCATTGCTGCTGCCAGGCCCGTAATCTGCCATGGGCCCCCGTACCGACTCCTCATGCTGCTGCCAGGCCCGTAATCTGTCATGGGCCCCTGTACCGCCTCCTCATGCTGCTGCCAGGTCCAGAGTGTCTCATGGGTCCCTGTACGGCCTCCCATTGCTGCTGTCTCCATCGCCACACTCTGCCATGTGCCACTTTCAGGTCTCCTCACACTGCTGGTGGTTTCCATTTTGTCATAGGTTGCTGTATGGCCTCCCATTGCTGCTGCCTCCACCGCCACACTGTGGCTCCACACTCTGGTTTTGGCCCCGTGACTGCCCAAATGAGTGAAGTGTGCGGTGATTCTAAGATCGACGGCACTCATCTGCATGTCATACTGACTGACAGTATTATTTCTCTTCCCCAGCAGACTCCAAGGGCATTTAAATTAAAGGTACAGTGTTCTGCACTAATATAAAGGCTCTCTGAAGCCTAGAAACACCCTTTTTATAAGTTAAATTCGCAGCGAATATATTCGACTCGAATCGAATTTATTCCGCGAATTCGCCGAATCAGCCGAATTGAATTTTTGAATACTTCGCTCATCTCTAATCAAAACGTCCAGCTATCCCTGCTGCCACTAAAAATGTCCATGGCTAAGCCATAGTCCTGATAGTTTTCACAATATGACCATTTGTTTGCAACTCACGCCGCCCATTGACATTCATTGAAACTCCACTCTAGCCACCTCAAATTTGAAGGGCAATTTCTAAACTGCGACTGTGCCTTCATTTTTAATATTTCAGAGACATACTATGCATAAAAATGTAGGTCAGGGTCTTGTGATTCTCACAATATAAAGCTCTTCTGTGTAGGATTTATCATTTTTAAACTACAACCGTTTGAAGATGGCAATCGCCAGTGAAGTGAGCAAGTTTGAGCAATTTGTTTTTAACCGCTCTTCTCTGCCCTTGCTGTAGAGTGAGTTGCCATAGGAACCCAGATGTGTGAGCGGCAGCAGAGTGACAAAAGCTAGAGTGTGAGTTGTAGATTACTGGTGGAGGCAAGAACACTTCACACAATTTCCCTAGAAATTGTAGCTTTTCTAGTTGTTGTTGTTGGTTTTGTTTTTTTTTTTTATTTTTGTTAACTTTTTGGTCTTTTTAACCACTTGCCCTCCAGAGGATTTACCCCCCTTCCTGACCAGGCCATTTAACTGACCGCGTTACTTTAACTGACAATTGCGCGGTCATGCAACACTGCACCCAAATGAAATTTACATCCTTTTTTTTTCCCACGAATTGAGTTTCTTTCAGTGGTATTTGATTGCCTCTGTGTTTTTTATCTTTTGCGCTATAAAAAAAAAAAGGCCGACAATTTTGAGAAAAAAAACTATATTTTTTACTTTTTGCTATTAAACATGTCCGGTAAAAAAATTTTAAAAATCAAATTTCATCATAAATTTAGGCCAAAATGTATTCTGCGACGTCTTTGCTAAACAAAAATCCCAATACGTGTAAATTAATGGGTATACGTGAAAGTTATATCGTTTACTTATGGTGGTAATTATTTTTTTTACTATCAATGGCGATGATCAGCAACTTATAGCAGGACTGCGGCGGGCCTTCTGACACTTGGGGGAACTGACTTGGTGTCACTGACATCCCCAGTGACACCAATACAGTGATCAGTGCTAAAAAAAAGTACTGACGCTGTACTAATGACACTGGGCAGGAAGGGGTTAACATAAAGGGCGATCAAAGGGTTAACTGTGTGCTGGGAGTGTTTTATTAGGGGGCGGTGTGTTGTTGGTGCTTCACTGTAAGCACACTGCTCTGGATGGCTGTGCACAGCCATCCAGAGCCCTGTGCCCGAGCCGACAGGGAGGAGAACTGTTAGTAAACAAAGCAGCCCTCCACCCCGTCGGAGATCCTCGGTAATCACCGGGCGCCGGCGGGTAATCACCGGCCGGGACCCGGTGATTGACAGCCGTGGACACGAATGGCGGCGTGGGTAGGGAGCGCGCGCCCCCCACCCGGAAATACAAAATCATAAATATACATGATTTTTCGCACCCCTGTCGCCCTGTGGCAGTATATCTGCTGTAGGGTGGTCGGGATGTAGTATAGATCTATGTTTGTCCCAAGCATGGTTGAATCCACTTACTGTTGACTGACTCACTACCTCTGCTGGACGTCTGTTTCTGCATCACCTACCCTCTTCGTAAAAAAAATACTTTCTAAGATTAGTTCTGAACTTCCCTCCTGCTAGTTTGAGTCCCCGTGTTCTTAATCTTGGTTTCATATTAAAAATCCTGCCTTCCTGTACCTTATTCACCCCTTTCATGTATTTAAAGGTTTCAATCATGACTCCCCTTTCCCTTCTTCCCTCCAGACTCTACATATTGAGTCCTTCATGTCTCTCCTCATATTTTTTAGCCCTCAGACTTTTCACCATTTGTGTTGCCCGTCTCTGGACTCGTTCTACAGTATCTTTTATATGTATATCTTTTTGCAAGTGAAGCCTCCGGAATTGGACACATTATTTTAAAAGAGGTCCAACTAAAGATCTATATGGAGGAATCAGGACCTCCTTCCTCCTGCCGGTGATCCCTCTAGTGATATAAAGATCGATATAGAGGAATCAGTACCTCCTTCCTCCTGCCGGTGATCCCTCTAGTGATATAAAAAGATCTATATAGAGGAATCAGGACCTCCTTCCTCCTGCCGGTGACCCCTCTAGTGATATAAAGATCTATGTAGAGGAATCAGGACCTCCTTCCTCCTGCCGGTGACCCCTCCAGTGATATAAAGATCGATATAGAGGAATCAGGACCTCCTTCCTCCTGCCGGTGACCCCTCCAGTGATATAAAGATCTATGTAGAGGAAATCAGGACCTCCTTCCTCCTGCCGGTGACCCCTCTAGTGATATAAAGATCTATGTAGAGGAATCAGGCCCTCCTTCCTCCTGCTGTGACCCCTCTAGTAATATAAAGATCTATATAGAGGAATCAGGACCTCCTTCCTCCTGCCAGTGACCCCTCTAGTGATATATAGATCTATATAGAGGAATCAGGACCTCCTTCCTCCTGCTGTGACCCCTCTAGTGATATAAAGATCTATATAGAGGAATCAGGACCTCCTTCCTCCTGCCAGTGACCCCTCCAGTGATATAAAGATCTATATAGAGGAATCAGGACCTCCTTCCTCCTGCTAATGATCCCTCCAGTGATATAAATTTCTATGTAGAGGAATCAGGACCTCCTTCCTCCTGCTGGTGATCCCTCCAGTGATATAAGATCTATATAGAGGAATCAGGACCTCCTTCCTCCTGCCGGTGACCCCTCCAGTGATATAAAGATCTATATAGAGGAATCAGGACCTCCTTCCTCCTGCCAGTGACCCCTCTAGTGATATAAAGATCTATATAGAGGAATCAGGACCTCCTTCCTCCTGCCAGTGACCCCTCTAGTGATATAAAGATCTATATAGAGGAATCAGGACCTCCTTCCTCCTGATGGTGATCCCTCCAGTGATATAAAGATCTATATAGAGGAATCAGGGCCTCCTTCCTCCTGCTAATGATCCCTCCAGTGATATAAATTTCTATGTAGAGGAATCAGGACCTCCTTCCTCCTGTTGGTGATCCCTCCAGTGATATAAAGATCTATATAGAGGAATCAGGACCTCCTTCCTCCTGATGGTGATTCCTCCAGTGATATAAGATCTATATAGAGGAATCAGGACCTCCTTCCTCCTGATGGTGATCCCTCCAGTGATATAAAGATCTATATAGGGGAATCAGGGCCTCCTTCCTCCTGCTGGTGACCCCTCTAGTGATAGGATCTATATAGAGGAATCAGGACCTCCTTCCTCCTGCTGGTGACCCCTCTAGTGATGCATCCTAGAATTCTATTCGCTTTTCCCACTACCTGGTCACATTGCTCATTTTTTCCTCTGTGCAAAATGTTTTTCTCTGGGGTACTGGCCAACACTGTACCCCAAATATTGCACTCTGTCAAAGGATTCTTTTTCCCTACACAAGAAAGACCTGGTGCTCAGCCTGCAACCTGAAGGTCCCTCATGGGTGCTTGTTGTACGCATCTCACTGCACAGTTCAGCAGAGATTCAATCGGTACTAAAATCTTCTGAAAAAAATGCTCGCAGAAACATAATCCGTATTGTAGTGACACCGGCAGAAATATGTTCAGAGATAAAATCAGTACTGTAATAAAATCCACCAGTAAACATCTGCAGAGACATAATCAGCACCATACTGACACCACCAGAACACGTGTCCATAGACACACGTCAACTGATAATTTTTTGAAATTCCAGTCTTGCACAGTTCTCCGGCCCTCCCCTCCAGTCTTGCACAGGTGTACCGGCTCCTCCCCTCCAGTCTTGCACAGGTGTACCGGCTCCTCCCCTTCAGTCTTGCACAGGTGTATCGGCTCCTCCCCTCAGTCTTGCACAGGTGTATCGGCTCCTCCCTTTCAGTCTTGCACAGGTGTACCGGCTCCTCCCCTCCAGTCTTGCACAGGTGTATAGGCTCCTCCCCTCCAGTCTTGCACAGGTGTACCGGCTCCTCCCCTTCAGTCTTGCACAGGTGTATAGGCTCCTCCCCTCCAGTCTTACACAGGTGTACTGGCTCCTCCCCTTCAGTCTTGCACAGGTGTACCGCCTCCTCCCCTTCAGTCTTGCACAGGTGTACCGTCTCCTCCCCTTCAGTCTTGCACAGGTGTATCGGCTCCTCCCTTTCAGTCTTGCACAGGTGTACCGGCTCCTCCCCTCCAGTCTTGCACAGGTGTATAGGCTCCTCCCCTCCAGTCTTGCACAGGTGTACCGGCTCCTCCCCTTCAGTCTTGCACAGGTGTATAGGCTCCTCCCCTCCAGTCTTGCACAGGTGTACTGGCTCCTCCCCTTCAGTCTTGCACAGGTGTACCGCCTCCTCCCCTTCAGTCTTGCACAGGTGTATCGGCTCCTCCCCTTCAGTCTTACACAGGTGTACCGGCTCCTCCCCTCTAGTCTTGCACAGGTGTACCGGCTCCTCCCCTCCAGTCTTGCACAGGTATACCGGCTCCTCCCCTCCAGTCTTGCACAGGTGTACCGGCTCCTCCCCTTCAGTCTTGCACAGGTGTAACAGCTCCTCCCCTCCAGTCTTACACAGGTGTACCTGCTCCTCCCCTTCAGTCTTGCACAGGTGTACCGGCTCCTCCTCCCAGTCTTCACAGTCCTCCCCTTCAGCACACAGGTGTATAGGCTCCTCCCCTGGACTGAAATGGATTCCCCTGATTTCACTGCACACTGTGAGCTTTTCACAATGTGCTTTAGAAGCTGCAGCAAGTCAGATAGAGCTCCGCCTCATTTCCCGGCTGGAGGACATCCAGCATCATCTAAATACTTTGGTATGTACTCTGTTTTATTTATTCTTTCATAACTCCTCCTAGGAGCCAGCTCACTGCTTGCATCAGAACTGACACTTGAGAGGAGTACTGAGGCAGTGTGCCGTGATGTTTTTAAGAAGCTATCTATAGCACCCTGCCAGCCCCTCCCACCAGCCATGATATGGCTGCATTGCATAGAGACTCACAGAGACCCATCTAAAATAAGTTATGTAATAAACACAGAAAGGTTTTATTTAAAAAAAAAAAATCCCATTAGGTGGAAAGGAGTAACCAGGGGAGACGAAATATAAGCAGATTAAACTTCAGCTTTAAATACATTTAACAGATCTCAAGTCTAGACACAGTTGGCTTTTCCTCTATGTGGTTACCGGACAGGAAGTCAACTTTTTCTAAAGTATTTCTCATCAACACCACCTACAGTTCTTAAAAGTTACTTAAATGTTTAAGCCTGGGTCAGGGGTGGACTGACAAATCATGGGGTCCCCGGGCAATAGGGGATCATGGGGCCCCTGTGTCCTTACCCAAACTCAAAAAAGCCTATGAAAAAGGTACCAGGGGCCTCTCATGGGGCCCCCTACTGACCCCGGGCCCTCAGGCAGTGCTCGAGTTTCCAAATGGTCAGTCCGCCCCTGGCCTGGGTTCACATACATGCGGTGCGGTATATCGCATGTGATTTGCACAGGAACCGCACTGCATTCCTGTGCAAATAACATGCGATTTGTGTGCGGTGCGATCAGAGCCGTACATTTTGTATGGCTCTATTCGCACCGCACCAAAAAGGTGCAGGACCCTTTTTTTGGTCCGCGCTAGAATCGGATAACATGGGTATTCACATCTATGCAATCCGATTCTGCACATCGCACATGCTTTCGGGGTTTTGTTAACATACACACCCGCAGCGGTTTGCATGAACGGGGTGCAATTCTGATGCGGTGCGGAATTTGCACAGAAAACGCTGCGCATTCTGCACCGCATCACCCCTGGTTCACACCTATGCGGTGGCGCGGGCCGCGTTTGCACGGGCACGAGAGCCCATTCATTTGAATGGACTCCCGTGCCTGTGACACGCAGGGAAAGACGTCCCTGCACTTCTTCTGAAAACGCAGCCCGCGCGGGTACTAGTGGCACCAGCCCGCACGGGAACCTCGGTTCCCAATATGGTTGCGTTTTCCAGTGCAGGCGGCGTGCCATTAGAACTAATGGCCCCTACCCGCAGGTCCGCATTTCTCTGTGCAGGATTTTCCTGCGGATCCGCAGCGGCACCACCAGCACAGGGGCTAAACTTCGTCATGATTTCTAGAAATCAATAAATACATAAACAATTTAATAAATAAAACCATAAATATTTCACAAAATAATTAATGAATGTATTTATTTATTTATTTATACATACATTGTAAAAAAAAAACATGAATAAATAATGTATTTATGTATTTAATAAATAATTTATTTAAAATAAATAAATAAGAATAACATAAATTAATATAAATAATACATAATATAAATAAATATAATTATAAATAAAATAGTAAATAAGTTGCATCTTCCGCTGATGCGATTTCAAATTGCAACATAAATAAATCTCTTTATTGGCGGCTGCTTAATTGTCATACTGATGGACGCGATATAAAGCTCCTCTTGAGCATGGCTCCTCCTATCCTCTGCGAACAATGTCGACTTTATCCTGATGTTCGGAAGAATGTGATTCCAGCCACTTATGAGTGACACTGGCAATTAGGCAGATTCCGTTGTCGTTCTCGGGGTCACCCAGTCCAGTCTGGCTCCTATACAGTCTTTGGCTTGCCCCGGGCTATGCTTTAAGTAAGGGCTGATCTGAGACGCTTCTGCCGCTAATGCAATTTTTAAAAAAAACCTTTAACATGGATTTTCATCGCTTTAAATTTAACTTACAGACCTGCAAACGCCTCTCTCCTCTCTCTCTCTCTCCATCTACCTTTGAAGTGATTCCATTAGGGGCCGCAGGTGGTCTCTCCATAATTCAATCAATGTCAGGAATTTGCACCGGCTCACTCCAGTTTCTAATGTAAGTTAAATAAATCAAAGTGGGATCTGGATGGAGGACAGGCCTGCCTTCCAAATGGAGCTGAAGTACTTGACAATGTCCTTATGAAGGAAAGTGGCTTTTCAAGGTCAAAGTAGCATGCCCACAATGATTAACCCTTGTATTTCATGAGTGTTTGCTGACAAAGATGCGTTCTTCTAGAATCTTGGATTTGTGAAGGATTGCATCCCTCTAGTGATTCTGAAAAGAAAAAACAAGGAGACATTTGAGCACAAAGAACATGGAGCATGAAGAACTGACCTAAAAAAAAATGATTGCTTAATAGGGAAGAGCTTAAAGTTCAGTTCGAACCTTGGCCGTGCTATCATTATGTATTACTATTACAGATTCCTACTGTCATTGGTTGGTAGGACACCACGGGTGCAGGCACCGCCAAGTACTTACCAACCAGTGACTTCAGCAGCATCATTCATTTACATAGCCAGGAATCCCCAGCTAAGTAAACAAAAGAGCCAGGGATAGTAAAACAAAATAAGGGCGTGAGGTCCCCCCCAAATTCTATACCAGACCCTTCTGATCTGGTTGGGATTTTAAAGGAAGACCAACGCAAAAAAAAAAGGGCTTGAGGTACCCCCAAATTCTATATCAGACTCTTCAGATCTGGTCAGGATTTTAGGGGAGACCTATGCAAAAAAAAAGGGGGTGTGAGCTCCCCCCTAGTTCTCTACCAGACCCTTGAGGTCTGGTTGGGATTTGAAAGGAGGGTCCATGCAAAAAAAAAAAAAAGAGAGGTGTGAGGTCTCTCCAAATTCTATACCAGACCCTCCCGGTCTGGTCAGGGTTTTCCAGGAAGACCAATGCAACAAAGGGTGTGAGGGCCCCCAAATTCTATACCACTAGAAATTCTGAAGAACTCTTCAGATCTTGACAGGAATTTAAGGGAGACCCATGCAAAAAAAAAAACCCAAATTCTATACCAGACCTATAGGAAAAAACAGAAAAGGACATGAGGCCCCCTCCAAATTCTTTACCAGACTCTTCAAATCTGGTCGAGAGTTTAAGGGAGACCCATGCAAAAAAAAAAAGTAAAAAAAGGGCATGAGGTCCCCCTAAATTCTATACCAGACCCTCCTGGTCTGGTCAGGGTTTTCAAGGAAGACCAATACAACAAAGGGTGTGAGGGCCCCCAAATTCTATACTAGACCCTTCAGATCTTGGCAGGAATTTAAGGGAGACCCATGCAAACAAAGGGTGTGAGTACCCCCCAAATTCTATACCTATGCAAAAAAAAATTTAAAAAAGGGCATGAGGTCCTCAAACATTCTATACCAGACCCTCCAGATCTTGGCAGGATTTTATACCAGACCCATAGGAAAAAACATAGAAAAGGGCATGTGGCCCCCTCCAAATTCTTTACCAGACCCTTCAAATCTGGTCGAGAGTTTAAGGGAGACCCATACAACAAAAACAAAAAAAGGGTGAGGTCCCCCAAAATTTTATACCAGACTCTTCAGATCTGGTTAGGATTTTAGGAGAGACCCATGAACAAAAAAAAATTTAAAAAAGGGCATGAGGTCCTCAAAAATTCTATATCAGACCCTCCTGGTCTGGTCAGGGTTTTCAAGGAAGAACAATGCAACAAAGGGTGTGAGCACCCCCAAATTCTATACTAGAGCCTTCAGATCTTGGCAGGAATTTAAAGGAGACGCATGCAAAAAAAAAGGTGTGAGTACCCCCCAAATTCTATACCCATGCAAAAAAAAATTTAAAAAAGGGCATGAGGTCCTCAAACATTCTATACCAGACCCTCCAGATCTTGGCAGGATTTTATACCAGACCCATAGGAAAAAACATAGAAAAGGGCATGAGGCCCCCTCCAAATTCTTTACCAGACCCTTCAAATCTGGTCGAGAGTTTAAGGGAGACCCATGCAACAAAAACAAAAAAAGGGTGAGGTCCCCCAAAATTTTATACCAGACTCTTCAGATCTGGTCAGGATTTTAAGAGAGACCCATGAAAATTTTTTTTTAAAAAAGGGCATGAAGTCCTCAAAAATTCTATACCAGACCCTCCTGATCTGGTCAGGGTTTTTCAAGGAAGAACAATGCAACAAAGGGTATGAGGACCCCCAAATTCTATACTAGACCCTTCAGATCTTGGTAGGAATTTAAGGGAGACCTATGCAAAAAAAGGGTGTGAGTACCCCAAATTCTATACCCATGCAAAAAAAAATTTAAAAAGGGCATGAGGTCCTCAAACATTCTATACCAGACCCTCCTGGTCTGGTCAGGGTTTTCAAAACCAAATGCAAAAAGGGTGTGAGTTTCACCCCCCAAATTCTATACTAGACCCTTCAGATCTTGCAAGAGTTTAAGGGAGACCCATGCAAAAAAAATGTGAGTACCCCCCAAATTCTATACCCATGCAAAAAAAAAATTTAAAAAAGGGCGTGAGGTCCTCAAATTTAATGAGGCGTTGCTCAGGGAGTCCCTTGCAGGGCTATCTATACCAGACCCTCCAGATCTTGGCAGGATTTTAAAGGTAGACCAATGCAAAAAAAGGGTGTGAGCACCCCCCAAATTCTATACCAGACCCTTTAGATCTGGTCAGGATTTTATAGGCGACCCATAACCAAAAAATTTAGAAAAGGTCATGAGGCCCTCCCAAATTATTTACCAGACCCTTCAGATCTGGTTGAGAGTTTAAGGGAGACCCATGCAACAAAAACAAAAAAAGAAAGTGAGGTCCTCCAAATTCTTTACCAAACCCTTCAGATCTGGTCAGGATTTAAAGAGAGACCGATGCAAAAAAAGAAATGAGGTTCCCCCAAGACCTATACCAGACTATTCAGATCTGGTTGGGATGCAAAAAAACAAAAAGTCTTTCAGGTCAGCCCTGATTGGGTTTTCTCGTGCC